TCTGAAACACAAGTTATCAATTATTTTGATGTAAATAGTGATAATAAATTAATATTTCCTAAGTATCGTCAACTTCCGCCATTAAAAAGGGGGGCGTGGCCAACCCCATGGCGAAATTAGGTTGAGCGAGCTGCATAACCTGCTGCGAACGCGTAGAAACATGGCGTCTCTCGTAAGACACTTATCCAAATGGAACGGAACTCAAATATATATCGAAAGTACTAATTTAATAATAAATAGACACACACATCGGAAAATTAAAAACTCGGATTTTTTGGCGCCGATTGCGAATTCCCATACACAAAAAGTAGTAGTCCACCTTGACTTACCGAAGTATCTACCAATAGTACCAAAATCCGGAATCCGGGAGAAACCGGAATCCGGATTATTCCGGAATCCGGATCCGAATCCGGCGGATTTCGCATAAGAAAATCCGGATGGAAAAAACGGATCCGGCACATTTAATTAAACTATAAAGTGTCTATAAATATTAGACCGCTTCTACTCAGGGCCAGTTTTCGAATTTTGTGCAGACATGTAAAGACGAGTGGGGTCAACTGTCACAATTTTTTAATACTTTCTCCCGCTATTTATTAACTGTTGATTAAATCGAAGCAAAATTTTACTCAGTTTAACTAATTCATTTTTGGTTACTCTATTAGTTGAATAAGACAAAGGAAACCAATTTTGAGATAAAGTCTTTTTTTTTTTTCAAATGGCCTCCAGCGGGTGACAACCAGCCCCAACCACTGGTTAGGTTGTCACATAGAGTGGGGTTAGGTTGTCACAACATGTTTTATTAATTTATTAATTTACTTAATTGTATACATTTATAATTAGAAAGAAAAAAAACGAAATGTTATACATAATCTGATTTTTCAGTTCACTTGTCTTATCCAAGTTAGAGTTGAAATCTATAAACCTAAATATTTTAAACAATTTGTTGTTGAATTAGGTATTATAAATGGACTTCAAAGATATTTAACTATCCCACACAATAAAGCTGGAAATCATAGCAGAAATTTTCTGCCATATTGGTGTATCTTAAATTATTTTAAGAAAGCTCTGGTATTTTAAACTATTTGACAAGCGTTAGAGTAATGCAGAGTAATGCAGACGAAAGTTTACTTTGTTTAAATCTTTTTAAAAAGCAAGTTGTAAATCTCAATCCTCTTGTACAAACAGTCAATAATACATAAAACAAAGGAATGGTTTTAAGGATTGTGACAGTTTGATGCGAAATAAAAATAAAATACTAACCCAAAAGGTGGCCCGGAGCACAATTTTGTAAAATACGGAAAGGAAGACAAGAAATCATTATTAATTTTTTAAAAGTCGTTTACAAAATCAACCAATTAAGCTATATATATAATGTTGACGTTGCGTAAAAGTATCTATTGCTGCATTGCAAGAAATTCGATGGAAAAGAATGCACTATATTTTATAGTGGTGACAACGCCAACACACTAGGAGCAGGATTTGCCGTGAAAAAAAGAAGCAATCAGTGCAGTCATAGGCTTCAAACCAGAAAACGAAAGATTGTGTTCTTTGCGTGTTCGAGGAAAATGTTCAATATAAAATTCATAAATGTACATGCTATAACCGAAGACATGGAAGATCAGGATAACGAATCATTTTATGAGACACTGGAAAAGATCTACGAAGAGGCACCACAACATGATATTAAAATAGTGATTGGAGACTTCAATGCCAAAATAGGAAAAGAAAAGGTGTTCATGCCAACTATTGGCAAGGAAAATCTGCATGAAGAATCCAATGACAATGGGATCCGACTCATAGACTTCGCGGTAGGAAAAGGGATGTCAGTTAGCAGCACCAAGTTTCCGCACAAAAATATACATAAAGCTGATTGGAACTCGACAGATGGAATCACCCGCAACCAAATTTGATAATGTTTTAATAGATCGGAGATATGGATCAGATATATTAGATGTAAGAAGCCTTCGAGGAGCAGGTGCAGACTCGGACCATCTACTTGTAAGGGCGAAACATTAACAGAATAAGCTTAATTCACGATGGTCGTAATCAAAGAGAGAAACGATACGATAACCAAAAGCTGCCCAAAGACCCATTAGCTGCAAAAGCTTACCAGAATGAAGTAGAAGCACAATTAGAAGCATCGCAGGAGGAGTTAAACAGGGAAAAGAACACAAATTAACAGTGGGATGGGATAAAAAAATGTCATTAAAAGATCAGCAGAAAAAGTAGTGGGATTCCAGCAAACCAACAATAGAGTAGGCTGGGTTGACAATGAATCCAGAGAGCCTGTGGAAGAAAGAAACTAAGCACGAATGATCATGTTACAAAGGCAAACCAGAAAGACAACACAAACATACAAGGAAGCCAGAAGGAAGGCAACAAAAATGTGTAGGAAGAAAAAGAGGGAATGGGGAAAAGCTAAACTAAAGGAAATAGAAGATTTATCAAGAGAGGGAAATATAAGAGGAATGTACATGAAGATAAAAGATGAAAAGAATGGATACCAAGCCAGACCCCAAATGTGTGAGAGCCACAATGGATAATTAATCACGGAAATAGTAAAGTACTGGAGAGGTGGGCTGAATATTTTGAGTACATAGAGAATGCAGACAATAGACAAGAAGAAGATTATCACCCCCCCCCCTTTTTATACAATGCCCAATCCTAGAAGAAACCAAAGAGGTAATTAATTATATAAAAAATCACAAAGACCCCGGAAAAGACCTCATCACAGCAGAACTGATTAAATATGGAGGAAAAGAACTGCATGCTCAGATACATAAACTTATAACTAAAATTTTGCAAGAAAAGAAAATCCCAACAGAATGGGGAAACAGAATTAATAACCCCAATACATAAGAAAGGCTCCAAACTTCAGAGCACAAACTACAGAGGAATCTCCCTATTAAATGTTACATACAAAATACTGACGAAGCTTACTGCTAAAAGACTACAACATTACACTGAAGAAATACTAGGTGATTACCAATGTGGATTCAGGCCTAACAGATCAACGACTGATCAGATTTTCACCATCAGATGCCTATAAGAGAAATGCTATGAATTTAATTTACCAGTGCATCAACTCTATGTAGACTATTTAAACGAAAAAACTTTGTTTTTAGGCGTTGTTTAATTTAACGTTAAACATGGGACAGAATGACAAGGAATACAGGAAGCATTATCTTTACTTTGTGAACCTGGGGAGCCAAAAGACACGGACAATTTTTCAAGCCCTAAGATTATGAAATAGCTTCAGTAAGTTTGGAGATGACAGTAAGTGTCGAGGCCAGTCAAATGATAATGCTGCCAATATGTCTGGCAAATACAAGGATATGCAAGAAATAATATTGAACATTTAACAAGTATGCTAACATGTGCTTGTCATTTCCTGAACCTTGTTGGTAGAGCAGCAGTTGACTATTGTTTATAGATGGCTAGTTTATAACTTTTTTTTGGAATTATTCAAGAAATATATGTTTTCATCATCTACACATAGATGGGCAGTACTGTTGTCATTCTTCAAAGATGATTCAAAAGTTCCAAATTCTTTCTCAAAGACAAGATGAAAGCACGTTCAAGGGCCACAAGTGCAATGCTTGATAGTAATTAAGGACTAATTTCTGCATTGCATCAGCTGCATATTGATACTACAAAGAAAGGCGAAACAAGACATCAAGCCACACATATTTTGAATACTATGAAGGATTTTAAATTTATGATAATGTTATTTTTTGTGGAGTAACTTGCTGGAGAAATTTCACAAGACTAGTCAATCACTGCAAGAACCCCAAATTAGTCTAGATTTATGTAGAAAATTGTATGCTTCACTTTAGGATTTTGTTAAAGGTTCCTTGGATATGTTCGATCCTTGGAAGAAAACGCAAAGGAAAAATTGCCTGATGTTGGTTACAAGAAAAGCAGATATAGAAGGCGGCCTATCAGTGATGATGAAGAGGATGCCTTGGACAACCTTGAGCCAAGAGACAAGTTCAGAATCAAAAACATTTTCAACTGTGATGGATGCATCTTTATGTTTGTATTTATCTCAGTGGAAAACTTCTATTCTAATGCGTTAACATCTGATATAATATAACTAAAGCTTCAAGTAAAAAATGTTGCCCGACATCGAGCACAGTAACATCCCCGACATTTTATCCGCAAATTCTATAAGAATATGTATATCAGATTACGTGCAAAAGGATATTGGATGGAGATTGCATTGTTGAAAAAATAAACTTATAATTTAATATTTACATTTACTTCTCTGTCCTTGAAAATCGTAAACAATGCTCAGTTGCGATTTTGCTTCAAAATTCCAGCCCTGACTCTATAAGGTATTGTTGTTGTAGAGAAACTTTACTGGTCAAAGTTCTGCACTCTATCTCTTCTGTTTGGATGATGACACCTGCTTCCTGTTTTCACTCGTAATGCGACAACGCGGCAACAGACAACTCGTCGATGGCTACAGTTAAGCCGTTGATTTTGATCTTTATTTATCTGTGACTATGATTCAATTAAAGACTTTGAAGAGACTTTTAAGGCGGTCCCTCAACTGTACTACGGTACCCTCCAACCAATGGTATGCCTACTCTTGCTGCTCTCCGGCTTTGTTCCCTCCAACATGTCCGGCTGCGTTCTCATAGAGTCCCCACTTACGTTCCCCTTTCATTAGTCCCCGAACTAGTCGTGGCATCTCTAGAGGTTCCTTCCCAGGGTTATCAACAGTCTAAATTATGGCCACCCGTCCTTGCATTCCAGTGTCTTGATTTTTTAACAGTAAGCATGGTCGGACTAATGCTGTCTTTCACTTTCTAACTCATACTCGGCACCCTTTACATTTTACAATCACCGCACCCTCTTCAAAAAGCTCGAGGCGCCCCTTCTTTGATTAATCTGAATCTCCAAATGGGGGCGGATATTACACAATTTGAGATCCCTTGATTCTATTAGTAGGCTATTATAAGTTTCCGTTTTTCAACTAGTAGTTTTCCGAATCTCCGATTTTATCTATGCCTCATCCGCTTTCTTAAATAAGTAACAGAAGGTTTGTAAGTGTTTGTTATAAATTCATTCTTTAATTTGAGTTAATTCATCTATAAAAGTATAAGTAAAAGCGTTATAATTACATCATTCATGTCTCATTTTTATTTTTCTCATCCAATCTTTCATCTATTCCAAATGTGATTTTACACTTTACTATTAGTATGAGTACCATGATTATGGAAGAATATGGTATAGTATCACTATAGTATAGTCTTTTCTATTATAGAATAGTGTCTATAATACCCTGTAATGTCCATAACTATAACATAAGCCTACTAACTACTAATACTATACTAATCCTGATACTACTTTACACAATCTTATTTGGCATACTTACATATTTTTAATTAGCTATAATAACTGAAATGCTACAAATACGTTGGACTACAATACACTAACACGAATTTTTTAAATGGTTATTTTATGTGGGTTTTTAGCGTAATCATACTCATAATCATACACGGGAGGGGGTGGGTGGGGCGGCATTTAAGATTTTCGGGGTGAGGGCAGTGTCCAGAGGCGTAGCTAAGGGGGGAAAGCTGGGACACTTCCCCGGGTCGAAGACTAGCTGGGGCACCAAGATGGGCTTTGATGGTATTAAATGGTTGAAAATAATTTGTTTCAGAGTTGAGGGGGTAGGGGCGTAAAATGAGTCATGTCCCCTGACTTCAAACACTCTAGTTGCGCCACTTCCAGTGGTGTAGAAAGGGGAGGATGAGGTTGCTCACCCAGGTGTCACTTTTTTGTATAGATGTGCGGCATTTTTGGACAAATCCAATTACCTAATAATAATAATAATAAGAGTGTTGGACTGCGATAAAGCTTTACAATAGAAGAATTAGACACGAACAATTTGTGTCAACAAAACAATATTAATATACTAGATATAGCCCACCAAGCATTGGCGACAGCAATGCAGGAACTTCCCATCTACCAACAAAACATGAACTCAAGTAACGCACATTTAAGAATCCCAATTTTTGCTATACCGGTACCCCTTCCCCCCATGATACGTCACTGCACACTTTTTATTTCACGCCCATGAACTATATTAAATATTCTGATGTCCCAACCACTTTTAAACTGAATATTTTTTACACCATTCTTAAATTGGGACGATTTCATTTACCGAAAATGAAATATTACGCACCAAACGCAGTTGCGTAATTAATTTTAAAAAAATCATTTAGCGTAGTTATCGGGAATTATATTTTTCCCGCTAGTGAACTCATTATTGAACCCTACTTTCTTTCAAACATATAGAAATATTTTTAATACAATCTCAACACCAAATACGCTGAATAGGAAGCAGCAAGAAATGGAAGCAGTCCATGAGTCACCCCAGAGGCATAATATATATTATAAGAGAAGTTCAGCTTTAAAATAAGTTTACATAATAGACAAGTAAACGCAAATGCCTCATCAGTACAAAAACAGGCTTACCCAAAAACAAAACATATCTACCAATAAGGGTAAATTAAATTTACATTATACATATGTATATATATATATATATATATATATATATATATATATATATATATATACACACAATATACACACACAAATACAGAGTTTGTATAGTGAAAGAAAGGGTAGCAAAAATATAACACAAAAAAAAAAAATATATACCAATAAAAGTAAATAAAATATATATTATATATATATATATATATATATATATATATATATATATATATATATATATATATATACACACAATATACACACACAAATGCAGAGTTTGTATCGTGAAAGGAAGGGTGGCAAAAATATTTGGTGGCACTAATACTTGCTACGCTATTATCTATAGTCAACAAAAGTATCGATCATTTTCATCGGAATGTGGGCAGAAATCGAGAGCTCAGATGAATCTTGCTTTTAATTATACAAATAAAAGCAAGGCAAAGATCATGAAGGTAAACTCAGTAAACTCAGCCAACCATGAACATATCTCTCCCTCGGGGAATGCACTGGACGAAGTGGAGGCCTTCGCATACTAAGGCAGCACCATTGACATAAATGGTGGATATGAAGCTGATGTCACAGCTAGAAAAGCTAGGTCAGTATTTGTGGCATTAAAGAAAATATGCGAGTCAAAGGAGCTGGCTCTTCAAACCAATGTCAGAATTCTCAATACAAATGTCAAAACAGCTTATTCCTATTCTATGGAGCCCCAACTTGGAGAACAACGGCGAGCATTACACAGAAGGTACAGACCTTTATAAACATTTGCCTTAGAAAGATCCTGAAAATCAAAGTGTCAAACACCATGACTTACAAGAAAGGACACAGTAGCCTATTGCTGAAGACATCACAAGGAAAAGATGGAGGTGGATAGGGCACAATTTTCGCAAATCCCCAGACAATTCCTAACATGAAATTCACAGAGGAAAAATAAAGATAGGAGGCCCTAATAATACATTGAGACTCAAGCTAGAGGCAGACACACAAAGTATGGGATACAATTTGAAACAGCTGGAAAGGAAAGCACGGGACCGAGATGAATGGAAAATTCTTATGGACGGCCTATGCCCTAAAGGGGTAAAAGGGATAAGTAAAATGAATTTACTTTTGGAAATGAATTATTTTTTTGGGGGGATGAAATATTATTTGAGAATAGATTTTGCCTATTTGATACTTAGCAAGAACTATTAATGAAATGGTAGACCTTTAAACTTGTGAAGTAGCAAAAAGTAAATGAATAAAAATAACGATATGTCTGTTCGATATTTAAAATCTAATACTGTACGCCTACATCAAGATTAGCCTTAAATATAACAGCATACAGATCAGCCAATACTTCGAGCCAATATTTCAATAGATTCCACTAATTATAATCGCTTACAGGCAGCAGATACTATTTGTTTTAAAACTGTTTAAAAATGACAATTTCGTCGTTTTTAATTTTTAAAATAAAAAAATAATAATAATAATAAAAAAAAAATAATAAAAAAAATAAATAATCGTTTAAACAATATGATTGTTTTACACATGTTGCTTCTGGGCGGCACTTGACTTTGGGGATATGGCTGAAAGAAACCCTGGTCACACTCAAGATGTTATATAATAAGAATAGTTTATGAAATTGAGCCTAATGAATACAGATGAATTGTGTATATGCAGACTGCTTTGCAGTTTGCAGTGCAGTAAAAATTATTTAAGTATAAGTAAAATCTTTAATCTACAAATAATACACATCATTGATATATTTAAATATATAATATATACATTACATGACATATAATCACCAAGGAGTTCAATGATTTATTCAAATATTTAACCTAATTTTACGCATTCTATGAGGGCTATGTTGCCTATGAGAATATTTTGTCCCCATCACAATTTTTTCAGCTGAACTTTTGTCACAAAAACTAAATTTGTCTGCTCTACAGGATTAAGTTGATTTCATAGATGCTTATAATTTGTTAAAACATCATATGATGCTCAACTATGATTGTTTTACACATGTTGCTTCTGGGCGGCACTTGACTTTGGGGATATGGCTGAAAGAAACCCTGGTCACACTCAAGATGTTATATAATAAGAATAGTTTATGAAATTGAGCCTAATGAATACAGATGAATTGTGTATATGCAGACTGCTTTGCAGTTTGCAGTGCAGTAAAAATTATTTAAGTATAAGTAAAATCTTTAATCTACAAATAATACACATCATTGATATATTTAAATATATAATATATACATTACATGACATATAATCACCAAGGAGTTCAATGATTTATTCAAATATTTAACCTAATTTTACGCATTCTATGAGGGCTATGTTGCCTATGAGAATATTTTGTCCCCATCACAATTTTTTCAGCTGAACTTTTGTCACAAAAACTAAATCTGTCTGCTCTACAGGATTAAGTTGATTTCATAGATGCTTATTTGTTAAAACATCATATGATGCTCAACTAAGAAACATAATGGGTATGCAAACAAGCACAATGCTGATTATGTTGGCTGCATGTATATTGTTGTTTGGAGAGATGGTGTCTACAGGTTGGTAGTCTAAGTGTTGATCCATAGATGATAGAGTTCATTGCGTTTGCACTGTGTATCATAGCTATTGGGGTAGATTTTTAAAATATGAATCTGTTATCAAAGGATAGATATTGTTATAAGATGCTTTCCTAAATATCAAATAAATAAAGAATGTAACATTACAATATCATTTAAGGTTAAAATTCTAAATCTAAGGTTTTTATCCTTTAATCTGTCTTTGTACACAAGCTTGATTTATAAGATCACATCTTCATTTTAAATCTTTTATTTTTTGATGATGCTTATGAGGAGACACTTTTTGTTTAAAAAGATTTGATTTTATTTAAATACAATAATTTCTCTCCATTAAGCTGTGCATGCTAAGCAGATTTGATTCTATCATGGATATGTGCATGCGAGAAACAAATTAAATCATAAGTTGTATCACAATACATTTTATCATCCCACTATTTGAAGAAATATGCATTTGTTAAGCTTATATATATTTAGGAGGATACATCCCACATTCTTCATCACAGGTTCCTAAGATCAGCTCGATGAGAGTGAATTCTTACCCTTAAAGTTAGAATAAAAAAATATAAAAATTCTCTAGTTCCCCAGAAGGTCATAATTTATCAGCCATCTTCCCCAATGGTTATGAAATATAAATGATCACTAATTAAGTCATTATTGTTACTTAAAGAGTTCAGTATGTATGATGGCTGATTTTTACGCTAGAGAAATACTTTAGATGTATTTTGTTCTAGTGGAAAATTTTGCCTTGGTACGAATATTTATCTATGTGCTGAAAATGAATATGTAAATTTTAATAAAAAAACATTTCCATTTATTTGGATAAATAAAAATATATCTTGACCTTTCTTATCATTCCAAGACAATTTAAAATGGTTTTATACATCTATCGTGTAAGCAAAGTATATAACTATGGTTTTAATATAGTGGATCAGCTCTGTCTAAAATTCACATCACTAAGAATAGTAATTTATAAATATTTGCAGGGATATTGGGCATTATTGAAAAGCATATTTATTAAGCAAAAATAAAATGGATGGCTCATAAATACAATTTCAAAACTTTAAAATTAGTATAGGCGACTTTAATTTATCTTAAAAAGATATTGTTTTGCCTAATAAAATGACTACACTTTAAAAGGAATCTGTTTTTTTAAATAAAATTTGAAAATATAACTCACTTTCACAATGATTGTATTAAATAATTTATAAATGTGTTAAAACATTTAACAATTACTATATTATTACCAGATGAAATAGTGTGCAAAGGAGACACCCCAATAAAGTGTCCAGTGACTGGTGTGTGCTGTGAAATAGATCATTTTTGCCACACAGGCCTTTGTCGTCCCTGTATCCCTCCTGGCATGTCTAGAGATGAGCTGCTAGTCAAGTGCAAAAAAATGACCATTGTTCAACTAATGGGAGAATTCAATCCTCAATGTCAAGATATATGTCAAAGAATTTTTACATTTGAGGATTTGAATAAAAGTGAGCATTTAAACAGCCTGTTAAGGTTTTCTTAATAAATTAAGCTATTTGTATCAGATTTGTTACTTACAAATCACAGATAAGCTTTAAAACACAAAGCAAATGTATTTAGGTTTAGAAAATTAATATATTTTTTTACTTTTGATACATTTTGCTTTACAAGTAGGCCTATATATAGCAAATTTTAATTTATAAGAACAAGAACTTAAGTTTCAGGATGCAGCACTAAGACGTAGTTCTTACATTTTAATTCTTTAATGTTAGTAATAATAGTAATAGGTTTAATACAGAAAAGTAATTTTAACATAACAAATAATTTTAACATAACAAATAATTTTAACATCAATTTTCATCCTATCACCAGGGACCTTAGTTAGCCTTGACATTCAGGAAATGAAATGCTATGGAAATCCCAATGTCTTTTTTTCCCTTTATTGTATTTAGATACTAAGGCATTCCCTCTCTTAAGCAAACAAATGTGGCTGCACATTTGAAACTGATACCTGGAACTGGAACAATCATTCTGGTTTGGCTGTTTTTAAAAGTCATAACTCTAGCCACTGAACTTTACCTAATGAGTCATGGAATCAAACATACTAGTAGTACTAGACTAGGGCATTGACATATTATGTATTGAGAGTTCTTAATTTTGCTTTTAAAAAATTTCCAGACCATTTGTTTTCTATAATAAAAAATGTGCTAAGCTATCAATATTTATTATTATTAGGCAATAGCATCAAACCTTAAGCAGGGTTTCGAAATCTTTTCAATAATATTTTGCACCATCTAAAAATTGCATTACAAAGTCTCGCACATACAAACAATGAATTTTTAAAAATATTTTAAATGAACTTTAAATTTTCTTATTAAATTACAAATATAAGTGTTTAACTCACAAAATAAACTTTTGACTTATAATATAAATTAACATTTTAGTGAAAAGAAATATATTTAAAAAGTTGAAGTCATAACTTTAAAGGCTATAAACGCTTTTTCTTTCGCGCCTTAATGCCACCTTTCACTCCCTGTGGTGCAAACAGCCCTTGATGGGCAACACTGAGATATATGGATACATCCAAGGGAATGTGGGGGGGGGGGGGGCTTAAATATTTTGTGGCCAGCAATTTTCAAATTAAAATAAAAAAATTTTTACAAAAGCTTTCCCCCGCGTAAACTGACAGACTAAGACTCTGAGGGGTTCAAACATTCGTGAATTTAAACCAATGATTTAAATATGATTGGTTTGAATATGATTAAAAATAATTCCTCCAGTTACCCCCGTTTTATTATTGACTATGCCCCAATTCCTTTAAGCAATACTTTGTAAGACGCATTACAGTTAATAACTTAACTCCCACAAGCATTTTTTAGGTAAACGTTTAATAAATACATGTGATTTTTAGGAGCATTGGAGTTTTAACCCCAAAACTGGCAACAATGTGTCGACTTACGTTTTGTTAAATTAATGTTTTTCAATGTATCAGTAGTAACATAGGCCTATATAAGAATTCCTTGGTATCATTAGTATCAACTCCGATTGACTGAGGTGAGTGTGTAACTAGTAGTTTCCCACACACAGACAGTAAAGACATGTTGATATGGAACTATAGTTTATTTAACCAAATTTATTTACAGCAAATTGTTTTGTAAATATTGAAGTAGACTATAATTTAATTTGGTTGACACAATGATTCAACAAAAATTTCCTTTCTCCAGAGCAAAATAGTGAAATTAATGATCTCAAACAGAAAGTAGATGAAATCTTACAGATTTTAAAGCAAACAAGTAAGACTTTCATTTGATTTTTTTCCGGTGTCCTTTTTATTTCCGTAAAAAGACATCCAATTGTAAGTTTTCAGAATGAGATCCTGTTTTTAATGTCTACATTTTGTTGTTTGAGTTTTTAAAATGATGTGTCTTTGGATATAACTTTAATATTTTTCTAGTATTATTACTATTAGTCATTTAAAACTATATAAAACTTCATGATGCATTTTGCAACTTAAAAATAAATAATTTTATGCAATATCATATTGTCAATATCTAAAAATACATGCTACAGATCCCTCAGCTTTTAGCTTAAAATAAGCCAGATGTCTTATTCGCGTTATGTCTGTTTAACTGCTTTGTAAAAAAAGAAAACGTCCCTCAAACTTATGTTTGTTGAAAAGGTTGTTGTTAAAGATCAATGCGTTTTAACCCATATAGACCAATCTCAGTACCGGTAGTTGAAATTGTTTTCATTCATTATATTTATTGGAACTCAAGTTTTTTATTTTTAAACAGTTTTGTGCCATTGTAAACTGGTTTCAAGATTGAGAGGTTGGGTTTATTTAAAAAAAATTACTTAAGGGACCTGCGTATGAATAGCCACTATTAGGATGTAATTTGTGGTAGTTTATTTTAGTCAAACTGAAAAAGTAATTTGAAAAAAATATAGTCCATTCCATTATCTCTCATTGGATACCAAAGTTTGTCTTACAAACCCAACAATAACATTTTTAATATTTTTTTAATCCCAACCTCTCACTTCTGATACCCATGTCCGAGCAGCCACTTTGTAATGCGAACAACAAATTAATGCTGAAAATATCAAATAATGTAGGCCTACTTGAAAATAATTTGTTGCATTTGTATTTCATAATTCTAGTCAATTAAATTAAAATTATGTATTCGGACAGTAAATTCAATGTCATTGCATTAACACATATATACATGTGTTTTAAAGCAACTAAAAAAAATAATAAAGGAAAGATTACTAAATTAAATTACAATTTTCAAAATCTTGGTGAACCTGAATTGGCAACAACACAGATGTGACACTTGAGCTTAATTAAAGTATTAGTAGGCCTACTCAAAACATCAACATTAAACATGTTTAAATTCCATTAACAGTGATTTCTCCTTATTTAAATGTAAATTGATACATTTTTTATTGAAGTCTGGACCACCAATTTACTTTTCTTTGAGTTTAACACCCCTGATCCACTTGCAAGAAACACACTAACAATTAAATGAATATTGATTTTTGAATTCATCTTTGCAAGGAATTTTTAAGGAGACTTCAGCAGCAACCAATTTGTAACAGTTTACCTCTTTACAGTAAAAATTTTACAACACTTGCACGGAAAAAGTAAATTGGTTAACAGTGCATTCTAGAGAATTGGAAGACATTTTTTTAGAATTTTATTTTTCACTTTACGAATCGGTTCCTACCATTTGTCCAATACTTGTATTAAAACTTTCAAATCAACCACTCTTAGACAATGCATTGTCTCTTAAGGGAATTAAATCAAGTAGAGGGGGTGGTTTAATTAAATAATATGTAGTCAGATTTAATCAAACAAGGAAATAAAAAACATATTTTAAGGATAGGCTTGAAAAAAATGTCAGAGCAAAAATATAAATAAAGAACATGTTTGCAAAAACAACTATTAAAATGATAAATTAAATCAATTTAGCTCTAAGAGCTATAAAAAGTGGGAAATTATATTAATGTATTTTTACCATTAGATTTTAACCATTACATGCTATTAGAGAAATGTTATGAATATAATCTACCAGTACATCAACTCTATGTGGACTATAAAATTGTCCATGACAGCATCAAAATAAAATGTCTACATGAGACTCTGTAAAATTAAACAACTCAAAAAGCAAAATCAAGATTCAGGGAGATTATTCAACGGAATTCAGATTAGACAAGGCCTATGACAAGGAGACACACTGTCTTTTATGCTATTTAACCTAACATTAGAGAGAGTTATAAGAAGCATACACATTGACACCCGAGGAACAGTAGCAGGATACTTTCTGAGGGAGATCCAAGAACAACAACCAAAAGGCACTCTCTACAATCAACTCCTTCAATATCTTGTATATGCTGATGGCATAGTACTGATATGGAAAAGTAGTAAAGACATATCAAAAGCCTTTATTGAATTAGAAGACGCATCACTACAAGCAGGAATGGAAGTTTACCAACAAAAAACAAAATAAATGTATGATAAAAGAAGAACAGACAGATGAAACCATTAAAATTAAAAACAAGACTTTTGAAAAAGTAAATCAATTCAAATGCCTAGGATATTTAAGATAAGATAAGATTCTTTTATTGATCCGAATAAATGGAAATGTTTTTTGATTGCACTATACATTTTCAACACATAAATAAAACAATTTGAAGACAAGAAATTTATAATAAATTATTTCAAACAGCCATTCAGTGAATAATCTTAGCCAAATCGGGACCTTATTAGTTCTCATGAAGATGTGTGACTTCAGAGGGAGCACGCCAGTAAATTCGTACAGATTGGAGAACAAAAGAATTTGTGTATCTTTCAGTCCTCGCCCTGATGGAAATAATTCGCCCCGAACGGCCCGATCCTAAGTATTTGTCGTGAAGAGGATGGAATGTATCATCCAAAATGTGTTTAGTTCTACAAAATCATCTTTCTTCAAATAGTTCTTCAAGTGAAGGATGTTTAGTTTGTGTTATGTTCCTAGCTTTCTTGATGAGTCAGTTTATGCAGTGTTTTAATATCAGACGTTGAATTCCCACACCAGCAGGTAATACTGAAATTAAGTAGGTTTCCAATTGTTGCATTGTAGAATAAGTTAATGACTTGCTTGTTTACGCCAAAATTGTACAGTTTTTTGAGGTAGAACAGTCTTTGGTTGAATTTCTTATAAAACATTTGGCCGTGCTCATGCCATGTTAGCTTATTATTAATGGTGATGCCTAAGTACTTGTATGCCTCCACTTTCTCTACACTTTGATTTTTTATGTTGAGCTCTGTAATCTGGTGTTTCCCCCTCCTGAAATTAACAAAAATTTCCTTTGTTTTTGAGACATTTAGCTGGAGAAAATTTTCATCGCACCAATTGATAAAGCTTGTAACTAAATTGCGGTATGGGCAGATATTAAGCCAACAATGGTGGTATCATCAGCAAATGTTCAGATTGGAACGGTGTCGCTTGAGCTTTGAATATCATTGGTATTTATTGTACACAGTACAGGGGAGAGAACGCAGTCTTGTGGTGCCCCTGTGCTTATTTCTCTGGTTAGAGATAACTGGTTATTTACTTTGACATTTTGTGCTTGATTTCTTTAAAAGTTCAGTATCCAAGCCTGAATATTTAAATTGACACCTAACGAGGAAAGTTTCTTTATAATAAGGTGTGGTTGGATAGTGTTAAATGCTGATGAGAAGTCTAAGAAAAGCAAATGGAAAGAAATAACAGAAATAAAAGAAAGAATATCGTACGGAAATAGGGAAAACTTCAGGAGTTAGAAAATACTTAAAAGTAAAATTATTACAAGAAAAACAAAGAAAACTTTTTATAAAACTGTAATCAGACCAGTTGTAACATATACAAGTGAAACTTGGACCCTAACAAAAAACAGAAGAAAACCTATTAAGGGGAGAGAAAAGTTCTCAGGAAAATACAATGACCAACAAAGGATAAATATTGATGGAGAATAAGAACCAGGAATTGTGTGGTCTATATCAGGATCCCATGCTAGTAGCAGAAATAAAAAAAGGGCACGATACTTAGAAAGAATGCCAAATGATAGAGGAGTAAAGAGGGTACATCACCAAAACCCCACAGAAAAACGGCTCAAAGGCAAACCTATGTCTCCCAACTTGCCTTATACGCTGTTAGCCAACTGAACTGAATCATTAAAAATGTACAAATGTTGCTTCAAATTAAAAATTGTTGTTAATGTGCGCTATACTCTGTGTTCACAATTGTCAGTGTTCAGAATAATTATTGTCAAAGAGTGTGAATTTTTGGTGCTCTAATTTGTTGGTGTATCTAGTTTCTGTGTGCTCAACTGTCAGTGTGCTCATTTTTCATGTGCTCAGTTATGTCTTTGTGGACTTTTCTTTGCAGTTTTGTCATGTGCTCAATGTTACATTTAATATCTAAAATTTAATCAGACTCGCAAGAACAAATCAAAGACCTTGTGACAGAAACTTACAAAGAATCAAAAAGAATCCAAGAGACTGGTAAGTATTAGTCTTAGATAGTGTTCTGTCTGATATGTCCAGGATCATATGAACAGATTTTTCTGGATAATATATTCAGCAGCAGTATTTTTGATAAAAAAATTTAATTTTGTAATAAATTTTTACCTACCAACTAAATATTGCAATTCTAAGACTTATCCAATGTTAGCTAGTTTCAAAATTTTTGAATTAACTCATTAACCATTGTAAATAACGTTATTAATGTCATTTCTATCTAGATGAGAAAATCTCGGTTTTGAAGGGTAAGCCAATCATTTTTCATGTTATAATGAGTTTGTGACATTGATAATTTTTCGTATGTTATGGTTTAGCTATAGGTACTAAGCCCTTAGAACTTTGTAAGAATCACAAATTTACATACTTGAAGATTTGACTGGCCTAGGTAGCAAAATTTGCAAGGAGGTAGAGCTAAATTTTAATACAAGGTACTCTAATGCTATATTTTATTGAGGTGGTCCATATTCATATACTGTCTATGAATATAAAAATAAGGCACCTCCCTGACCTAAGGTTTGGCAGCCTTATGCTATTCTTGGTTTACCTGCACGCTGATGTGCATTTTTTTTTACATTGGTAAAAAATGCTTATCAGTACAGCTAATTGAAAAAGCCAGATCCCCTAGGATTCTTAATGTTGTTTTTTATAAAGTTCACTTTACTTAAGACTATCTTTTCATTTCTCTAAATAGGCTGGTTAATAGCTATTGGTGTAATACTGGCTGTCACCATCATCATGGGAGTTTATTTCCATCAAAGGCAATGGAAAAATAAAAAAGGTTAATTTATTTTGTACCTTTGTTATAAAAAAAATAGAATTCCATTTTATTTTTTTAAAAACAAATAAGGTAGCTGTCAAAATGTTTTAATTTTTTTTCATTTTCAACAAATCAGGAAAGTAAAAATTCAATAAGAAAAGAGGATTCATGTTAAAACTTAGTTATTTTAATTAAGAGACAAATCTTTATCTAAATATTATTTTAAGACAAAACTAATCTTTTAAAATTATTTAGTAGCCTATATTCACATAATAGTTATTATTGAATTATGAATGCTCAGATTTTTCATTTAGCTAAATGATTTTTTTCAGAACATTCAGCATAAGTTTATGGGAAAATAATTACAAGTAAATAGACATGTTAATGTAATAAGTTTGCAGAGTTAAAAAAAAATGACCCACAGCCTTAGACTTGCAAAGTTTGTAGATAATATCATGTTGGAATATGTTGACTAAAAATTTATTTTCTTACTTTTTTTTTTATAAATTAAAGCAAGGGACCTAAAAACTTTAAGACATCACTCACAAATTTCACACTTCGACTCAACGGCATGCCTGACAAAAATTGGTTTAATTTTTTTTAAGCTTAAATAATAGAGTATGAATTTATTTTATTTTTTAAAAATGATGTTAAATGTTTACCGAAACATTTTTAAACACTTTTTACTGTTAGTTTTAAGACATAAAGAAACAAATAAATATTAATATGTTTAGTTCATCATCAGAAATTATATTGAAGCCACTATTACAAGAAATTAATGCATGTAAATTCAGTATGAACTCATTAAATTTTAATTGTTTTGAAATTCTAATCTTTGATACAAAAATAGCATATTTTGTATCAAAGATTAGAATTTCAAAACAATTAAAATTAAAAACCGGACCCTCACACTACTTATTTAATTTTTCATTCCTTAAAAAACCTAATTCAATATGTATCCTATCAATTTAAATGTAGGCCTACCTAATATTAATATATTTATTTAATGTAAGTTTTAAACAAATAATTATATTTTTAAAACATTTTCTGAGCATTTGTGGCAAAAAATGTAAAACAATCAAATATGGCCACTTCACTGGAGTAGACACGTGTAGAGAAATTATTTATAATACTGGTTCGTTTATAAATTCTTTGTAACTTTTTTTTTTTTTTAAATTAGACATAGAAACAAGTGGGAAGAACAAAGATGAAATGCAAAACTTGATAAAATCTGAAAACAAAAGAAATGAAAAAGCACTAAAAAAGCTTGGTGAAGGTAATGACTGGTTGTAATGTAATGAAGTGTAATGTAATGCAGAAAAAAATAATTTATAATTTTTTTTTCCTACCTGCTTTTAACGTAATTAAATTTTAGGAATTTTTTGAAATTACATTTATTTAATGGATCTGTAATTATTTATTTAAAATAAAATTATTTAAAAAGTTGTCTTCCGTAAATTAATTCCCTAAACTTACACAAGTTTGAGAAATAACAGCTATTAACTAACTAACTAACTTAAGAAAATCAGCGAACACCTCGCCGAAGCTCATATGGTCCTCCCCAATGCACCACCCCGCCAACCAAATCGGCCGTCAACCACTCCCTCAATGGTCTTTATTCCGATCGGGCCGCGAAGCGGCACGCCAGGGACATTCCGCCCCTAAGACCGCCACGCCCGACCTCCACTCCATTGACCGCTGAGCGTGGCAGCCCCAGAGAAGAAACACCTGGCCAGCGGGATTGCTGCTCACGCAGCAACAGGGCCGGACTTTCTAGGGGTTGGGGTGGATGTTTAACGTCTCTAAAGTCCCCCGTTACCACCCCGGGGGGACCGCGTAGATGTTTAAAACCGGCGGCCTCTACTTGGGTTTATGTGGTTATTCTACGGCACAGCTATTAACTAGATCATTCTATTTAATATTTTTTATTGAAATGGAGAGTCAAACAAAGTATTTTCAACTGAATCAAATCATCCTTGCTATGCTTACAACAAGAAATAAAATTGCTTTTAATAGTTTTAAGTTTAGGTCATTTTAATTAGGCTACAAGAATATTTGAACATATAGTCTTAATTTATTAAAAAAGTATCAAATTTTTCTGTCACTCCAATACCTTTTAAATCTTAAAGTAAAGTTATAACTGAACAGTTGATTCTCCATAAAAACACCTCAACCAGTATTTGTGATTTGGCCAGAGTGTCTCTGGGATACCAAAACTATATTTGATATTTTAATTAAAAATTATTTTATGTATCAAATTTCTTTGTTTTATTTAAATAGAATGCCAGAAGTCAATTGAGGACAAGGTAAAGGATGAGAAAGACAAAAGGATTCAAGAAAACGAAGGTAAATAAAATTAAATTGTAAATGAAACACCACAAATGACAGTATAAATTACATTCAATGCTTATTATGAGATAAGATTAGGTTTTTTTTATGGATCCAAAAAAATAGCATAGAAATCAGTCATAAATGAAATCCTTTGCCTTTAGTGACAATAATGACTTAATTAGTGATCATTTAGATTTGGTTATCACTGGGGGAGCACGCTTATATATTGTACAAACTGGGAACATAAGAATTTTTATCTTAGATCTGTGGTAAAGTGGGTGTGATGTACCGATATCATCCAAATTTTTTGAAGTTTTACAACAGCATTTTTCTTCAAATAGTTATTCAGCTGAAGGATGTTTAGTTTGTATGTTATCACTAGCTTTCTTTATTTGTCTATTTAATTGGTGTTTGATGTCAGATAATGAATTCACACAATAGCCGGTGAAGTTCAGTAGGCTTCCATTTGTTGCACTGTTGATTATGTTGTTTGTTTACACCAAAATTATACAATTTTTTACGATAAAAAAATTCCTTGGTTGACTTTTTTAGTATAGATTTTGACAGTGTTCATGCCCTTTCAGCTTATTTTTAATGGTGACACCTTGGTACTTATATGTCTCTACTTTGCTCCCTATTGTTCTAAATGTAAAAAAGATATTTTCAAAACCTTAACATTTTCTTTTAAATAGATGATCTGACATAAAGCAGTTAAAATATCTCCAAAACTTGTTAATCAGTACCATACAAGGCCAACTTCAGAGCTAATTATAAATAGTCCAATGTCTCAGTCTACTGATCTGTCATCTGCCTATTTGTTTATGTCCGTATTAATTGCAAGTTACTTGTTTTATTCAATTTTAAATTGCATCCATTTTTTTTTTTTCAGCTTTGCGGCTAGAAATTAATAAAATTGATACTGAAAACTCACAATTAAAAACATCCTGGGAGGAAAATTTGAACTTAAATAGACAAAGGGAGACAGGTACTTTTTCTAAAAACATACTAAGTTTGGAATTGCCAGAATATACAAATTTTCAATACCTAATGGTTTAGTTATTGAAATGTATAATATCATTTAACTCCATTATTTATACGCATATGTTTTGAAATAGAAATATTTAAAAAAATTATTCATGAATTTTACAAATCATTTACTTTTTCAAAAAAAACTTTCCCTAATAATCTGCTAGTCTAAATTCTAACAAACAAGTCGCTTTTAAATGTATTATTTTTTTGGTTGGGGACATTATAACTTTAACCATACAGTTGTGTTTCTCAATAGACATAACTTTGAATTATGGTCATATATTTTAATATATTTAAATTTAAATTGAATAATAAATTCTGCAATTTAAACATTATTTTAAAATTGATAACAGTAACAGAGGCTATGAAAAAAGATCTGAAAGGAATGAACAAGTTGGTGGATACCAAGCTAAATCAATATAATGAAGGTAAAAAAAAATCCATACACTAGCAAGTAGCCTTTATTGTATATTCTAAAGAAAAAATTGAAATAATAAGTTCTTTTTTCAATTAAGATTGTTCACTAGAATTATATTAACCAAATTTGATTCTCAATAAAATAATTTCAGCTTTAAAGCATGAGATAAATGACCTGAAACAACAAAACTTGAATTTAAAAGATGAAGTTGGCAAACAAGCAGAGACCCTTAGTTCACTCAAAAGAGGTAATATTAGAGTTATGTAATTGTGTTTTAGATAATTTCATGGCAAATAGAGGAATTCTCACCAAATATGTGTGGTGTTTTGGAAATTAATAAAATATTAGTTCATGAAAGTAAGGAAAACAAGAGCTAGGGGAATCAACCCAAAACAATAGCTGCAAGTGACATTGAACAGCCGCCCCCGCCCCCACAAAGCTTATGACCTTGTCATGGAAACATTATAATTTGACAAATACTCAACAAAAATATGACAACTGGATGGATTTTATGGATGAAAAAATTTGCCTCTAATAAAAAATCATTTCAGATTCCAATATTTTTTACTATGTATTGTTTTCATCTCAGTTACTTATTCGAACACCACAGTGAAGAAATTTCATTTTTAATTATTATTTTTTGGTTTGAAATTGAAAAGAAATAGATGATGTGAAACCAGAAAACTCAGAATTGAGAAACTTGCTGAAAAGACAAGAAGAAAAATTAAAGGCAATGGAGACAGGTAATTATTCCTGTTGACTTTTCTGCTACAAGATAATTAAAGCAGGGGGGATTGTTCTTATTTGCTTCTTGAATTCCCAATGGAGCAAAGTCCATTAACAATTTCTTTCCCAAGCCCTCTAGTCTCTTTGCTATCTTCTCTAACTCTTTCCAATCTTAATTAAATCATTGTAGACCTCTCTTCCCCTGGTGGTTTTGGGTCTTACTTTCCCATTGATTCTGGGGATTCCATAGAGGACAGTTTTCTAGTATTTATTTGGAAAGGATATCAATTGTCAAATTAAATAAATTTAAAAATGGAAAATGCAGCCTTCTTAGTTGGAAATAAATTAGTTTATTTTGCTTGGCCCTTTACTCTCTCTCAGTTAGTTGGGTGGATTGCTGAATTTGAGCACATCATGGTTGATTTCAGAATGGCTTGCATATTCATTATTGAAAAATGAATTCTGAAGTTTTCTTTCTAAAATTAAAAACAGAAATAAAGAAATCTAAAAATAAATGGCAAACTATGGAGCAGCTTGTTTGGTACCAAGCTAGAATGTATTTGGGAAAAAAAACGAAATAACACTGTAGTCATGGTATCTATTGAATACACAAAGCTAAGCATACAAAAAACGAGATACATTTTGACAATTTTCAAGAAAAAAGTTACCCCAGTATAGTGGTTAAATTAATGAGTTTTACAAAATCCAGCTTCCAGTTTGTTTTAAGAAGTATATGGATTTGACAATCAGAGATGTATTTATTTGGATGTTTAAAAATTAAAAAGAAAGAGAGTTACACATAAAAGCTATGAGAAATCAAAATAAAAGATGTTCTATAACTATTGATCTCACATTAAAAAAAGTTGTATCTCCTTCAGATAGAAACCACTGATTAAAGATTTCTATATTTCATCTGACCAATTTAATATTTCATATTTTCCTAAGCACAAATCAAGTTTCATGTGATTTATTTAAAATTTTACTTGAAACTTAAAAATAAATCTTTAATCTGCAGATTGTATAACACGATTTGAAAATTTAGAATCCAGAGTAAAAACATTCTCTCAATTTATCAAGAAAAGAGAAACCCCACCAGATGAAGAAAGCTGTGGTAAATATTAGATTACTTTTGAGGCAGAGGCATTTTTATCATTTTTGTCTAAAGTCATAATTTTATGTGTGTAAATGCTACCTACTAAAATTAAACTGTTTCTTATTGATTTATATTAAATCAATTTTATTTCACACTCTAAATTTTTCTTCATTAGGACTTAATTGTTAACTTTGATTCACAATTTTGTTTAAGTATTAGAATTTGTAGATGTTTGCTTTTCATGGTGATAAATTCACAATTTAATATATCTTACATTTTTTTTATCTAAAGCTACTGAAATAAATTTTATTTATATATAAACACAATTTAGCAAATGATTTGAGCATTGAAGTAGAAGGAGATAAAGCTCAGGCAGAAAGATTCTCTGAGGGAAGTTTCCCCTACAATCACAATGCACAGGTTAAAGGTCAGTTACAAATAAATGAAAGATGGCTATCAAAGTCTTAATTTGTGAAGCTTTATAACTTTATTAAACATCATAATTTAAGGAGGGCTACAGACTTATTAGTTATGTCAAGTAATTTGATCCTTGGGCACTAAAAATCAAATATTCCTTACTTCAGTTTAATAATATAAAATATTTTATGGTTCAGTAATGAGTTCAAGTTGGACTGGAATAAATTCCTTTCAAGTCTTACTATAGTAATTCTAAGCTATGTTTTGATTTTTATTTGATTATGTTTTTAATTGTTGTGTTTGCTGATGAAAGATTCAGTAGAAACATTCTAATGATTGTCTTTTGTTGTTTGTATGTTCAACCCTGAATATTTCATTCCCACAGCTGGAATGCAGTCTCAACTATATTATCATTAAATCATTTAATATAGCAAGTGTAGTCTGCTCTCATGGGGCTACAGATATTCTAGTCAATTCTTATTAGTTACATAGTTTTGTATTATATAATTTAGCCAGGTCAAAAATGAATTAAATGTATAACAAGAATGATAGCTTACACAACACTGATATTGAAATTGTTGCAAACAATTTACTTAATCTTACATAAATTTTACACTGTGAAGCCATACAAAGATTAATTTATTAAAAAGATTTACAGGTAAAACGCCATATATAAATGACATCACATTCTAGTAATGCATTGTGATGATGTATTATGAGAGTGTCTACATTGTGTGACAACTTTGTGACGATGGGGGTGGGGTCCAAAATCTGAGAAAACAGCATGACATTATTTATGAATGGCCCCAAAGATTCATATTACAGCATCTGCATTGACTTTGTCTATTGCTAAGAAAATAGCAGGAAATGTACAGCAAATATAGTACAGCTAAAAATATACATTAATTTTGGCAAAAAGGATATGTGACAATAGTAATTAGATTAATGAGACAATTTGTGCATATAAAATATTATTTGTAAAGTTTAATTACAAGACAAAATACACTTTTAAATGTTTCAGCTAATACCTTCTTCAGTACAAAATTTTACAAGAATAATATTGATGTTAATTAAATTTTCCATAACAAATTTAATTCCTATCTATTAGTATGAATTAATTAAAAGAAATAAAATAAAGACTATGATACTTACTATGTTTAAATAAAATCTTGTGTGGGTTAAATTTTAAATTACATTAGTAATTCACAAACACCTGACAACATTGTAAAATGTATCATTTACTTGATTCCATATCCAGCCTCCTACAATGCTTGATACCATATTTACAAAAACAAAATTATTTGTTTTTAAATGAATTTTTTGTTTAGGTAAGGGCAGCTATGTAGAACCTTATATCAGGCGAGAAGTTCCAGAGTCATAGATTAAAGCTGGCAAACCTCATCACGCAAGTCATTAATGTGTGTCTCCAAGATGACTGGAGTCTTAAGGAAACAGATTCATATCATCTTTGTTTAAATGATGGATCCACTATACCTGACAACTTATTGTATGACACACCATAAAACAAACAAAAATTTAACAAAAAAAAAATATTTTCTCTAAAAGTAGTTATTTATGTACTTAAATAACAAAATATTTTATTTTAGAATTAAAGCAATAATTTAATATGAGCATATAAATTCCTTACAGCATCCCCTACAGACCTTAAATGTTTATTCTATATAAAATTTTATTTTTATAAGCAAGATACATAAATAAAATAAGTGTTTTAGTGTCTTAATAGAATTGTAATTTCTAGACTGTAAAAGTAACCATGACAATTTTACCCATCACAAGAACAAGAGGTATTACTCATCTCACTTTTATACTTGTACATTTTATTTTAAATAATATTTACATTGCTGTGATAACTCCATTGTATAACATTGTCAGTGTCTTTTAATGTACATCATAAAATCACTTTTTCTAATTTATAGTATTTTTTGCCCTTCTAAAGCAAATTATACTCTTATTTCACAACAGAATTAAACTATGTACTTATGGAACTAATTTAAAATAAACCAAACTTCAATGATGTTTTGATGTTATCTATTTTGATAAAGTGCCTCCCTACAAACTGCATGGGCAGGTTGTGGGGTCTGTTATAATATGTCTTTTTCTTTCCACTTGAAAATCAAATTAAACATATTTATTTAACTTGCTTTGATAATTGCATTGGTTTCAAAACACATTATTACATTGAAATCATTGTGCCTTCTTGTAGAAGACACCCTAAGTAGGATAGGGAAAAATTGCTAAGGCAGCTATACTTTCTTTTTATGGCATAGACAATTTAGATGGCATAGTATTTTCGCTGATATTCTGAAAAATTGAAACACATTTTATTCTTCTATGTATATTTTACATGTCCACAGACCTAACCATGTTCAAATTATGACAATTACAGATTTATAAATTTGTAAATAATGGTTGGTTAATTATAATTTCTAGGGTCAACCTCTAAAATCTTCTGTGTATAGAACCTTTCTTAAGATATTACATGATCATGTTTTTATAATATGCCAACAGGGGACAATATTAAAATTCACCTACATAATGCAAAGAAAATCGAAGATGGAAAATTAAATAGAAACAAATTACTTGTGTGTACCACAGCTGAGTAACATTGTTAAAATGATTTAATTTCTATGAAAACACATATAAAATAATGACCTGATTGATGACTTATTGCTTTAAAGCATTGTTGTAAATTCTTATGCATATCAATGTTGGGAGATAATAGAATTCATCTGGATTGAACACTCTTAACGTGTGCTGCCAGGTTTTCCCACTGACCATTTAGGCCTTATTTGGGTAAAATTGGATTGATCAGGTCAGAAATTTCAATCCATTAGTATTTACTCTATGGCTTGTCATTTATCATGTTTAGGTAGAAAGAGCTTCCATTTAAGTTATGATCTTTTTTTAATGTTAAGGCATTCTCTGACTTGGTCAATATGATTTGTCCCTTCTGTGATGTACAATAAGATCATTTATAATTTTTTTCATATACGAGTTTGTTTAATGACAATTATAGTGTTATATTAATATTTTTCTCACTTACTTTTGGAGCATTATAAATATATTGATGATATTTGATACATTCCATTTACAAGTCTTAAAAAGAGAGATGTTTTACTCTATAAAAAAAAATTGTTAAATTAATTGCACAAAGTCATACACATTTTTTTTTTTAAAATTCATTCATATTGTATAATCTATTTAATCATCTTCTTTCCATTTTTATGTAGGCCTATTTTATTTCTTAAAAAATAATGTAACGAAATTATTTAACCTTTACCATGAGCCATGAGTAAAATAAACTTTTTTTGTGAGACAATGGTCTCATTTGCTCAAAAGTTCTGTCTAAGAATTAACAGCAGTACCAACTTTGGCATTTTAAAATTACAACACGATATCAATAACAGGTTACAGAATCTTCAAAAAATTAGATTCATAATCAAACTCCATTTTTTATTTATTTATTTTTTTTTTGCGATAACTCATAACTTTGTTGTAGGCTAGTTTGAAGAACTCATTTAAAATCAATTGTTTCTGCAAGTTACTTTGCTGTAATCTTTGTTTCCTGAAAATTTTATCTCTGAATGAATTCAAACAATTTTTGCACTTCTTCCATAAGTTTAATAACCCTTAAAATGCTTTATAAAAAGATCAAGTTAAAGTGAAAACAAATTAGTAAAAATAACAGTTTATTTAAAATATGTGGGTATAAAAATCTGAACTGTTTTTGTGTGTGTCTTATTCCAATTCGTTAAATCCCCTCCTCCCCCCCAAACCCCAAGCATATTCTTAGTAATTTCAAATTCGCCTCGACAATGACTGCACAAATAAATGTAATACTATACTAATTTACCCAAATTTTTTCCTCAATATATAAAAAAATTAAAGTACACTTTTTTGTTCGCAAAATAAATCTAGTAGTTAAAATGCCCTATTACTATTAATTTAATATAAAAAAACACAATTAAAAAGAAATAAACTACAATTCATTCGGCTTGCTACCTTTTATATAATATAAGATTATTGCAACAGTGAGTGTGTGTGTGTTGGGAGAGAACTTTTCAGTGTCATTTAGTCAAGGTATGACATGACATTGCTCGGTTGTTTGAAGAATTGTTTCTTTATCATATTATTTGTCATCTCTGAGCCAGTTTTTCTCCAGGTTTTACTAATCCCTTTAGTGGGCTGGACATGGTACACAGCTACGGGGCGGCTGTATTTCAAAACAAATCTATATAAATATCTATACATCTTTTCTTTGGTTTGATCCTTGATCGACCAAATCCTAAATAATAGTTATTATAAGTAATTAAAATATATTACAAATAATTATGAATACCATTTGAATGTCACATTTTCCCAGTGATTGTAACCACCAACCTTGGGACTGGCGCTTATTAGGGCTAGTATGGCCTGGGAAGTTGGGGGGGGGGGGGTTTACTGAATTTTGGCCCTTAAAAAAAACAAAAGTTTATAATTATGAATACCATTTGAATGTCACATTTTCCCAGTGATTGTAACCACCAACCTTGGGACTGGCGCTTATTAGGGCTAGTATGGCCTGGGAAGTTGGGGGGGGGTGTTTACTGAATTATGGCCTTTAAAAAAAACAAATGTTTGAAATTTTATCCTAAATAACGTTAGTTAAAGGATTTCTCTTAATTTTAAATCATCGCACGCGTGAAAAGATGAAATAGGCCTATGGCTGTGCCCCAGCAAACTTTTTTTTATGGTGTTCTCTGAATTTAAACCAAGACAACACTTCAGCAAATGTTAAAGCCATGCATTCAAAAAAAACTAAAACGGCAAATGTGTGCTTCAATACCACACCCCCAATCTCTACTTTAAAAAAAAAAAACATGACTTGCACACCAAGTAACAGTCCGTGTATCTTGTATCACGTTGTGTTACGTTGTGGAATATATCGAGGTATGAAGGGTGGTGTATGTATGCTGGTGTATGTATCAGTGATTTAGCGTTACCTCTGAAAGCATCGAGCTCTAAATAAAAGGTTTTTTTTTTTGTTTTTTTTTTTTATTTTTAAAGTTTAAAAAAAAAAAAAAAAAAGGTCTAAAAAAAACCAAAAGTGTTTCCAGATGTCTCGAGCAGTGGTTCCGGTAGGCCTCTTACCTTGGATGAGTAAACGGTACGAGCTTCATGGGGTCACCCATTACATGAGTTTTAATACACGATAAATTAATAAATTTCATTTCTAAATCACCGAACATTTCTGGCATTACAGTGATATTAGGATTTTTTTTTTGTTTGTTTCAGAATGAAATTAATAATTTCTTTCCGTTCAAAAAAATTGTGTAACACAATAGCGGCAGTGCAATGTCATCAAAATGTTATAACAAGGTCATCATAATGTCATCACAATTTTATCACAAAGTAACACAATGTCATCACAATGTTGGAACAATCGACATTAGGGGGATTTGTTAAGAAACTGGGCCAATCTAATTTGAATACATAGAAACATTGCCCTGTACTTTTACCATGTCTGATAACTTGGAGTTTGACCTCCACGCTAGGGTCGACAAAAGAACATTTCCGGCCAGTCGGTAAAAATTTGACATAAAATGACGTCTCTGTAGATGTCAATAAAAACTTTAGGCTTTCCTTTATAAAAAAGGGAGACATTGTACACAATTTTCTAAAAGGAAACATAGTCTAGCGTTTATTTCTCCTTGCTTGCTTTCAAAGTGTATAGCCATACATTAGGCGAAATTTAATACAAATGAAAACGTCCTACAATAAACTACCGTTTTAAAGTAGGGTCTCATCCTATGACGTAGACACATATATTTGATATAGTTGAATTTTAAACAAATAATAAAATCTTCAGCAAGTTTGTTTTAAAAATGGATCAGTACAATTTTTTTGTTGGTTCGTGAAACTGGTGGAGATTTAGAATACGTGTCCGTATTTTTTTAATGTGGTGGGAACACCGCTCTTCACCCCCACCCCCACTCCTACCATCCCAACCACTCCTACCATCCCAACCACTCCTACCATCCGAACCACTCCTACCATCCCAACCACTCCTACCATCCCAACCACTCCTACCATCCCAACCACTCCTACCATCCCAACCACTCCTACCATCCCAACCTCTCCTACCATCCCAACCACTCCTACCATCCCAACCACTCCTACCAATCCCAACCACTCCTACCATCCCAACCACTCCTACCATCCCAACCACTACCATCCCAACCTCTCCTACCATCCCAACCACTCCTACCATCCCAACCACTCCTACCAATCCCAACCACTCCTACCATCCCAACCACTCCTACCATCCCAACCACTCCTACCATCTCAACCACTCCTACCATCTCAACCACTCCTACCAATCCCAACCACTCCTACCATCCCAACCACTCCTACCATCCCAACCACTCCTACCAGCCCCGTGATAGGGAATCCATCATTTCTCATCAAACACCAATTATATAGATTTTTCACGGAAGCGAGTAACGTTACAAAACCAAATTACTTTCTTCTGAAGAACTATTTAAAGCAAAACGCATTTGTAAAAATTAAAATTTAAAAAAAAAAAAGAAATTTGGATGATACAACCTATAGATCATTCATCCCAATATATTTATCACAGATAGTTAAGATCAGCTCGATCACTGCGAATTCTTTCTCTCAAAGTTTAGACTGAAAGAAATACAATTCTTTTGTTCACCCATCCGTCAGAACTTACCAGCGATCTCCCCCCGGCTATTTTAAAGCAACAAGCCACCCCTCTCTAAGTCAATATTGTCACAAAGGGGGTAAGTGTGATGTTGTACGACGACAGATGTTAGCCCTTGATAAATACTTTAGATCACTTGTGTTTAGATGTCTTGTGTTTAAATTGTCATGGTTTAAATGTGCTGTTCTCAGGCCCGTCGACAGAAATTTTGAGCCCCTAGGCAGGGCTGTCACGGGACCCCCGAGGTCTGAGCCTCTAAACTATCTTTAGGCTTTATGAGAATTTTAAAAAAAAATTGACAGATCCTATACGTTGTACTGTTGTACACTTAAATAAGGTATGATTTTATTCAGTTGTTATTTGAAAAAAATTGTATTTTAAATTTATGGTTTAATGGTAACCAATAATATTCAATTCTGTTGTTTTCAAAAATAAACTTTTCTCGCTTTGGCTGAAGCAAAATCGTTAATAATATCATCGTAGTTCAATAATTTTACCAGATCATGTTCGATTGCCAGAGTTGCAAGACCATTCAATCTGTCTTGCTTCATAACTGATCGCTGAACACTTTTAATTAGCTTGAGCTTGCTGAAAGTTCTTTCAGCTTCCGCAACAGTGACTGGAATCGTACAGAAAATCCGGATGGCAATCACAATATTTGGGAATAAAAATTCCAACTTCAACTGGTAAAGTTTATTCAGCAGTTCAATGGGATGAAGGTTTTCACTTTGTATGTTAGAGGAATATATTGACTTTAGATGTTTTACTTCTTCAATTAAATCACATCTTTGTCATATTCTTTACAGAAATTAGAACATTTCTTCTCCAGATCAGTTTCCTCTATTTCCCGAAACAACCACAGAAAATTGAAAGAATTGTTAATATCCATGTCCAATTGAAAACGTTGTATTAAACCAGCCATAACACTATCAAGAAGTTTGTAGAAAACGTTTACTTTAAAATCGTCATCCTCTTCATGTGTACTCTCTTCTGCCAGTGGTTGCATATCTTGACTTTCATCAAAAAAAACTCTTCGTCGTTTTTTGTTTTTGTTTTTCTGGAAGTTCTGTTTCACATGGCAAGTCAGACGACATAGCTGCTGCTGTTATTTTGGCTTCTGCTAGCAATAAATCCCATTTATCACGTAGATCATTCAGCTCTACAAGGAGACTGTCAATGTTTTCCACCTCTACATCAAGTGTGGCTTCTCTAGCTTGAAGAACTTTATTTAGATTGTCTATGGCAACCAATATTTTGAGCCATATTTATAGCCATTAAAACACACTTGAATGATTTCATATAATGCTCAATTCCTAGCAATTCAGTCTTACATTCTGATGACAAATTTATTTCTTTACACTTAATAATTGCCTGTTTGATAATTGGCAGATGCTTTGCAATAGGTTTCACACTTTCCACACGTGCAGACCATCTGGTTTGAGAAAGATTATGCAGTGAGCATCCAGTTCATGTTTGTAGAATTTCCCATCGTTGAGGACTGTGCGCTCAAAAATTATACAATTTTTGAACTATTCCAAAAAAAAGTAATAACGTCATTACAACATTCGGCCGCATGCATACCACATAAATTTAAACTATGCGCGCCACAATTTGAAAATTTCGCTAGAGGATAAGAGTTCGGAATAATTGCCTGTGCTCCTTTAAACTTTCCTGCTATATTTGATCCGTTGTCGTATCCCTGACCTCGACAATCATCTAAAGCAATTTTGTTTTTCTCCAGTTCATATTTGATCCTATCTGCAATATCCTGTCTAGTTTTTTGTTATAATCAACAAATGCGAGAAAACGTTCTTTGACAACAAAGGTTGAATTGCAGTATAGTACATATCTCAGAACAAAAGTACTTTGTTCTGTATGAGAACAATATGGCGTAGCATCTACCATAATTGAAAAATACTTTGATCTTTCTCTTTCTGCCAAAATTTATTGAACAACTTTTGAGCTGCATGCTTCGATAAAGTCATTTTGAGAATCTGTTGAGAGATAATGGACCTGAAGGCGTTGACCAAGTTTTTGAGATTTTTGAACTTTAGAAACAAGCTCTTGTAGAAGCGGATCAAACTGAGCTAACAGTTCTATAATTCCAAGAAAATTTCCATTATCATGTTCATCAATTTTGTTCGAAGAACCTCTGAAAGCAAGTCCTCTTTCACCCAAAAATAAAACCACTGCTAAAATTCGTTTGAGTAAATGTCTCCAGTATTTCACTTTTGCAGCAATTTCTTTATCAATATGAGACGCTATATTCTTTCCAAGGAGAAATCTTCTTTCTGAATCTCGCCACTGTATATAACATTCTTTATGACTGAGACTTTTCTCATGAGCTGGTACTTTATCATACAAC